CTCACGGCGCTTCGCGCTTGGTGATGTGAGAGCCTGGTCCGGTGAGAACCCGGCGTGCTCCGTCCCGGCTTTGTAGGGATGCGAGGTCAATGGTCTAACGGCTACGGCATGCACGACTATGAGTACCCCCCCCCCCCTTCCCTTTGTCGTTGGTTTTGTCGAGTTTTTTAGCCACCTGTGGCAAAGTAGGAAGGAACGATTGCCCAATGGTGATCGGTCCTGTGGAAACAACGCTCCGTTCTCTCGAGGACGCGTCGTCAATGGTGCAACCGCTAAGGCATGCACAACATAAGAGTACGCCCCCCCTTCCCCTTCTCACTGTCTTTATCGTTCGAATCGTTTTCTGTGTCCGGCGCTCTCGCTTTCGCCCAGCGAGCAGCTCGCGAAGTATTGTTTACTGGCTCAACACTTTCTCAACCGCTTGCCTGTTCTCACTCGCTTGCCTAGTATTTGTGTTTTATTTCGATGCATGGCCCGACAAAAACCGATCGCTGTTCTAGATGCTTATTCCAACCTGCTGCTGGGAGAGACGGCGGCAGACGCCGGGGGCAGGAAGCGCAGGGGCAGGGGCAGGGGCAGGGGCAGAGCCAAACGGGGCTCTCAGGGGCAAGGGGAGTCTTTTCTGCTGGACGATGACGATGACGATGACGACGACGAAACCGAGGTGATACACTGGTCTAAGCATACTTTTCCGCTTATATATTTCCTTGATTTCTACTGCATGCGGCTGTTATTTTGTTGGCTGGATGTACCACTTGTATGAGAACTGGACCGTACGGTGAGCTGCCAGAGATAAAGTGCTTCCACAATTTCAGGTAGTGGCAGGTCTAGTTGGAGACAGTTCCCCGAATTTGATCGTGCGCGACGTCGTTCTGTGCTTAAATACCCTTTGTCTTTGGTAGAGTTTACATGATTTTTTTTACGCCAAGGATACGATAGGTGCCCGCTTCGAGTCGTTTCTATCCGCGTGGGATAGGTACTTTTTTGCTTCTTTCAAACAGTTTCGGCGGTACGCCTCACACCGAAGATTAGCGTCCGCGTCGCGTCTTGTGATTGGGTGGGATTGTAGCGTTTTCTAACATTTTATTCGCCTGTTTCGGCACTATTTATCGCACCCTCGCAACGGCCACTTCAGGGGGAGGCTTTGGTGGAGCAGGAGCCGCCCCCCAGGCCTACCCGGGAGGTTTACGAGGAGGCAATGGCCGCACTCACGCCAGAGCTACGTGCTATGTGAGTCAGCTAGCCGCCTTGTTGATGTTGTTGTTGTCGTTGCTCCCTCTGTTGCTCAGCTGTGGTTGTGGTTTGTTGCTGATGCAGCTGCTATTGTTGTTCTTGTCCGTGTGCAGCTGTTGATGTTGTTTTCATTGATTTCGTATCTCTGTTTGTTGAGTTGTGGTTGAGGCTACTGCTGCTGCTGCTGTTGGCGTTGATTTTGTGGGTGTGGTTTTGGTTGTTGGTGTTGCTGGTGTTGCTGGTGTTGCCAATGTTGTTGCTACCGCTGTTCTCGCGGCTGAATTGTAGCCACAGATGATCTAGCTTCTTGTTTCATGTGTGGCGATTGTTTGTGGAGTAAGTCTTCGAGCGAGGTTTTTTCCGTGCATCACAGCAGACTTATTGGTGGATGTTACCGCAGTTCCCCCGTGACCACTGTTGCTTGGCAGTTTCTCTCTTTTCAAATAGATAGGCCAGTCATGTGGATCGAACCCCAGGTTGTAATTTCATCCCTGGATTTTCTTTTGTTTCATCCGTGAGTTTTTCTGTTGATTTACCCCCAGCCTGGTCCGGTGAGAACCCGGCGTGCTCCGTCCCGGCTTTGTAGGG